CTGGCCGACCAAGGCCCTCTGACTGAAAAGGGCCCTCTAGCCGACCAGGGCCCTCCAGCTGAGCACTGACCAGGGCCCTCCGACCGACAAGTGGTCTCCGATCGAATTCAGGTGCATAAATTGGCCATTAGGTACCTCTTGCCTCCAAATGCACGTTCCTGCATTTTTTTAAAGGGCCCGGCTGGCAGCTGGGGGGGGGGGGCAGCTGCCCCCCCTGTGGCGCCGGCCCTGCCCCTGTTCCGGGCCTATTCCTGCCATGGAGGGAACTCTTGCCAGAGGTGCTGCTAGGCCATGAGCACAGATGGCCTGGCCTGGCGCCATCACTGGCGGCCGCAGCCCGTCACAAAAGGTGGGCCCAATTAGAGCCACATATTTTTCGAGTGAGGGGGCCAGGCCAGACGGTCAGTCAAAGTAAATCCCACAAAAGCCCAAAAAGCTCCTGATTTTACCCACTATTTTTGGGGGTGAGCACTAGATTTACATAAGAAATAGGTAATTTATTTTCATAGATAAGTACCAGTGCTCAAAGTGTGGGGTCCGACTGCTCTGGTTTCATAAAAATGCAGGGTCGCGACCCCTCCGAACACAACGTCGATGACGCCCCTGAGCTGGAAAGCACGGCCCGTTTCAAGCTGGAGAGGGCCCGTGTTCCAGTCTAAGAGGTCCCGTTTCAAGCCTGAGAAGGCCAGTGAAATGGAATCGGAGGCAGAATAAGTGGAAAAAAACGATGAATTTTCGTTTTCGGAAGGGGATATCACGATTCTTTTTCTAGGAAATTATAATTATATGCGTAGTAAAATATGTGGAATTTACAATAATGTACCTATCCATTATGATCTACAGGCCTGCATGCATCGATACTGGGAAAGTGCTTCATATGGCAGCTTCGTTGGAAGGTAAAAGAAAATGGTATAGGTAAAAAAAAAGAAATATCCATTCAGGGCGTACTTGATCCGAAATGAGTGCAGTGCGCTTAAAGAAACCTTATGTATAAACACACTGCGCTGTTACCTGAACCATCTTTTCCAGTTTAGGCGTAGTTTTGCGCAATTAGTACTGACAATTCCGGAAAAAAACTTCCCGTGCCGAATAGGCTGCAGGCTGCCATTGACGTATTTTCCAGTCAAAATATACATATTCGTAATGCTTTTTCAATTCTCTGTCCATCGACGATTGAAATTATTTGCAATCGTTACGACACAAATAAATAGGCTCAAAAGTTAACGAACCTATAAGGGCACACCCCTTCCGCTTAGAGCGCACCGAGATATCGCAGGTCACGTGACTGCGCTTCAACCGGAATCCCCCGTCCAGGCAGCTACCTCCTACAGAACCAGGTGTGTTCAAAGGCGATCACACCACCTTCCGCATCTGGTTGAACGCCTTCGAGACCAGATGCTCTTCATCCAGCGAAAGGCTACACTACCTGGGCTACTACACAGCTGGAGAAGCAAGAAACGCGATCACTGGCTTCCCATGCAGATGGGAACGGCTGATGCCTACCAGCAAGCCAAGAAGCGCCTCACCGACAGGTATGGCAGTGCATTTGTCACCATGAATGAGATGAAGAGGCGCCTTCAGAGATGGCCAGATGTGCGAGCTGGCGATAGTAAGTCATTCACTGAGCTTTCAGACTATCTAGAGCTTTGTCTGGCCAGTTCGAATGCAATGGGTGATGTGAAGATGTTCGGTGGTCCATCAGAGATTGATGCCATCCTCAAGAAGTTGCCCAGATACCTTTTTTATAAATTTAGTCGGAACCTTTTGATAGGAAGGCTTCACAAGGACAGAGCCACCGCTAAGCGAAGCTTGTTGCGGTGACCCTGCCCTCTACCCTCCGATCGCGCAATTCCAGTGCTATGGCAGAATTTAGAGTCCAAAGTTTAACGTGCGCACATAGCCGCGCACGGCCGGTCCCCTCACTGACTTCGCCTGGCTACGGCCTGCCACCAACCGCAACCATACCTGTCAGGAGGCCCATAAATGTCGAGCGCCCGTCGCGCTTCGAACCCGGACTGTTATTAAGTAATTTTTTCAAGAAATCCCATTGACTTAACCCGCGCCCCACTGGGGGGGGGGGGCTATTTATAGCCCCCCCTCCCGTTTTTCTGCAATAACTTCCAAACCGCTTGACGGATCGACGCCAAACTTTCAGTACCTTCGGCTGCATCAATTTGACACCTTGTGTCAAAATTTGAACTTCGTAGCTACCATAGGTCGGCCGGAAATGACGTCAGAGTGACGTCATGTTCGTCCGATTTCGACGCAAAACATTGAACCACGGCAATCGCTCCCAAGAGCTCAGTTTTTAAGCTAGATCCAATTTCTTTGCATGAAAGAACTCAGAATTGACCGCGCTATCAAACTGCTATCTCGGTTTTCAAAATTTTGAAAATTTCGAAAATTTTATATAATAATATTCAAAATTTATATTTTTATATTTTTTTCAAAAAGTTTTTGACTTTTCGAAAAAAACCGGAATATATGTGACAGAACGCATGATTATGACTAACTCTAGCAAGTTTTAGCTAAATATCTTCAAAAATGGTCAAGTTATACGCATTATTGCAAAAAATTCACAATTATTAATTTTTCAAATCAATTTTTCAGTACGTATTTGGCATCGTACACCAATATAAATGGCACCATCGTGTTCCTGAGCTCAAACTGCATCCAATAGACACCTTTTTTTTGTTGAACAATTTCAACTTCAAAATTTGACCTTTTTTGACCTGAAAGTGACCTGACCTAAGCTAAATTCGACTCAAAATGACCTCGAATGACATACACGACATCAAATTCGAAATCTATGGCCTAAATGGACCATAAAACATGTGTCACGTGACCGACGCATGATATAATATTTTCGTGACCTGTGATGACCTGACCCTGACCTGAAAATCAAAGTACAAGTTTGGTACCCTCAAGGTATCTAGAGCATCTGTTCACGAGTGTGGAAACCAAAAATGAGCCTGATCTGACTTGTAAGACGGCGGCCAGAGCCCAAAATGTGAACAAGCCAAAGTGCTAATAATTTTTACTTTGACCTGACCTGTGACGTCATCGGTGACCTCGAGGTCAATGAAATTAGGTTTCGCTCGACAGTTTTTCCGGGGCTATCAGACGCCGTTTGAATTTTGACGATCGGCCCAGTAGTTTCGGAGTTAGGAGGGGGGGCTATGAATAGCCCCCCCCCAGTAGGGCGTGTTATACACAGACCCCAGTGGGGCGCGGGTTAAGACGTGAAAATTTGTGCGCGTGCCACGGGCAAAAAAGTTAATTATATTTCAAGCGATTGACATTGACGAACGAACCTACTGACCGACTATTGGTACTAAAAAAACAAAGAAAATCTATCGAGCCGATTTTGAGCAAATCGAGAAAACCCGTTTTGGCCCATTTCGTAACGTTAAACCAATGGCGGCTGCACGTGCAATTTGCACCCCCTTCCCGAAGCTGCCCGAAACGGCGCCGCCGGCTCACGGTAGATGCCGGGGCGGCCACCCAGCACATAGAAGCCCATCGCATTACAAGCACCCGTCTGCGAGAAATGCGATGCCGAAAATCCACCTAATGTTGAAGCCTATGGGCCTAAAACACGTGCACGTGCCACGTGCAAGAAAAATAATTATATTCTTAGCTGAGGGTGTTTCGTGGTACATAATCTGTGGGGGCAGCTGCCCTGAAAATTTAATCAAAATCTATCGGTTCGTGTGCAAACGGTGCAAGGTGCCCCAATTCGCTGCACCAAACACGAATCCTATCCCGAAATAGAATTACCCTCAGTTTGTTTTTCAATAGGAAAACACAATTCTAAAGAATAGTGTTTGTCTAATGAAGAAACAACCTTCGGGTATTGATTATCGTCCCGCATTTTCCAAAATCTTGAACTGAATCTTGGCAATTTCTCGTGACTACTTCACTACCATGATACATGCATTTCTTAAATTGAACTTTTTGAGCCAAACACGTACACATATGATAAAATGAATGTCACCATCGTGTTCTACGCCCCAAATTACCCATAAAACATGTGTCACAGGATGCGAATATCAGTTTTGATTTTCGGGGATATGTGCCTAACCGGCTGACCTGACCTTGACCCTGACCTATGCTTGACTGACCCCTACATGGAGCTGACACTCTTGTAGGCCTTATATGATGGATTGTGCATCGTTTTGACAGAGTTTTTGACGAGAGGCGCCCATTGCGAAGTCCTGAAGTCCATGCTACTGAAAGCCCGATTTCAGGTGTTTGGCCTGACCTTGACCCGACCTGTGACCTCAAAATTCAACTTTAAAGTACTCATCTGAAGCGTCTCGTCGTGTTCTTTCGTTTACCGCCTCGTGCGTTTCGCTGCGCCTATTGGTTCTCGAGTTATCGGCTGGGAGCGTTTAACGCCCCCCCCCCCCTCCCAGCAAACGGTGGGTGACGAAATACCCCAGCAACTGCCGGGTTAAACCCCACCAGGCACACGAGGCCAGAATTCCTCTTTGAGCAGCCCCATAAACGCCGGCCCGGTTACTGTTGAGCCAGAATCGAACCAGTAGACGAATTCCCGCTCGTCCACAACGGCAGCCCAATACCTACATGACATTTTGTGCGCCTTGTTCCTTGCAGTTGACCGTGACTTTTCTGGAATTTGTCCACAAGCCGTATAAAGACCATTTTAGAGGGGATAACGTGCTTTTTTTGAAAGCGCCCCCAAAATTACGGTTAACGACTGTCACGCCTTTCAGTGAGCGATATTCCAGGACGACCCAAACCGCCACCGTAAATGGAGAGCTGACCTATTTTAAAGGGTCATTTCATGCCCATACTCGTACAGAAGGAAACTTTGGTGAGATGTGACACTTTTAGATACATCAATAGAAATTCCAAGAACTTTGCAATAAAGTAAGTAAAAAAATAACTTGTTAATAAAAAGATCTTAAACTTCGCGCCTTTAAAATAACTAGTATTCATCATAAAAGATCCTGTAGACTCCCTATAGGCCTCACCTGTAGGTTCTCCTTTGCGCATTCGATGGACTCGGCGTCGATAAACTCACAAGAGGATAAGATCTCACCCAGCATCGCCTTGGCGTCTTTGAAGACTTTGAGCACATCGTCAAACGAGTTCAGAGCTGCCGGAGACACACAGGGCAAGGTTCCAGTCAGAAAATAGCCAGCTCCCTCCGGACACTGCCCGGGCCAGAGCAGAGGTTCTCCATAAGATCGAAAACGCTGTCTTTCGATTGGGCAAAGGCGCTAACAGCGGCGAGCCCCGACGTGCGGACTCCGGACGGCTAGGTGTTATGATTCCTTTTACAGGGAATCGGATAGGCAAGGTTAGATAAAAGGTAACGCTGATCAGATGCACCAATGACCCTTCAGGCCTACACGCGTAATCAGGGGCTTTCGGAAGCCCTGCGTTGAGCCCAGCGCAGGCCCTAAAAAATCGGTGGGAGACGCTCAGGTTTGAAGTGCAGACCTAACACGTTCGATGTGACGATCAGAATCCGGTGCGTGTGCGTGTGCGTGTGCGTGTGCGTGTGGGTGTGCGTGTGTGTGTGTGTGTGTGTGCTGAGAAGTAAGAGAGACTGAGCTGGTGATGAGCCCTATCATACCAGTTTGGAGCCCTTAAAGCCAGTGTGAGCCATCAGAGGAACCTGTGTCGGCGTTATGGGCAAACATGGGGTCTTAAAGACAGGTGGGTCTTCAAAACTCTGCGGAAAACATAGAGGCTGAAACACAGTTTTTACGCGGGTAAATCGCAGTCTCGCTTCTTCCATTGCAATGTACGAAATATTTTTTCTCCCAATCCTCAGCGCTTTTTAGCCCGCGCACCGACAGGGATAACCGCCCCCCCCCCCCCCTCTGAGGTCTCGAGAACGAAGCAAGATAGCGACAAGCGGCAAACAGCATGGGGTACGCACGGACAAGGTCAACAATTTTTGCTAAGGGCATTTTCAGGTCAGGTCAAAGATGACGTTACAGGAATTAAAAAAGTCCAACTGGCGACACTAGATATGAAATTTTTACTGGAATAACTTTCAAAGCACTCAGGCTGGAAACAAAATTAATGGCACCATCCAGTGGCGTAGCCAGAAATCAGCGAAAGGGGGCATGTTGTTCGAGGGGGCGACTTTTTCCCTTGAGAGGGGCGCCATTGTCAGCTAATGACAGGGGCGTCAGTCTAAAATGTAACGTCATGTTCATGCACGATTTACCAGGTGTTGCAAGATACGAGTACAAAAACCAGGTTTCGCTGATTTTTCATAAAATCCATTAATGCAATTTGCAGCCCGATGTTTTTTATCAAAAAACCTTGATCTTGATGAATACTTAGCACAATATATTAAACGAGCTCAGGCTACAGACATTTTATTCTCAAAATACGCGTCTATGCGAATTCGAAACGTTAAAATATACGTTGATCGAGAGGCAAAAAAAAAAGAAATAGGTATACACGTCACCCACTGATCCAAAGTGACCTGTGGGCAGGGCTGGGAAATCTCTCATACTTTCATACCCCAGTAGATAGCAGGGGTGGAGATCTGTCAAAATGTCACGGGGGTCCAGGCCGGGCAGATGGAGGCGGGCTGGATGCAGTACCATTGACTTACATAGCAGTAATTCATTTTCAGGGGGGGTCCTGACTGACCCCCCGATCCCTCCCCTGAGATCTCCACCTCTGGTAGGTAGCAGATACCGCTTTATTGTTCCATCAATTGACACAAAATCAGCATTTCTCTCTTCCGTAGATCATAAAGAAAAACACAATAAAAACATCAAAATTCGCACATTTTTTAAATAAAGGTACCACCGGTCAGTGATCTCGTCGGCGAATAAGAACAAAACATCTGTAAAACCAACACAAGTTCAAAACGTCAGCTTTGTGCTCCATTTCATATGACGAATCTGGCATCTCTTTGCAGCAGTTTCCATTGTAGCCATCACTAATTCTTCATACTCTGAGTCGTATAGCTAAAGGTATCTGCTACGCCTTTTATGCACTATCTTTCTTATAAATATTGCAAAAAGGAGTTTCATTACCTATTTGTGAAATATTGCAAAGACATATTCACAAAACAAAACAAACTGTCTTAAAAAGGGCATTGTTCAATTCACAAAAATCAAAACGTCTGTACGTATGTATGTATGTATGTATGTGTGTATGTAACGCGTCAGTTCCCTTTGGCGGGCTGTTGTGAGGCGACGGTGCGGATTGCGGGGGTGAAACTTTGGCGCCGAGTCGGGCGCGTGCAGCCATTTGTCGTATTAACCCGCGCCCGGCTGGGGGTCCTGGATTTCCACGCCCTGCTGGGGGGGGGGTGTTTGACCCCCCCCCCCTTGTAACTCGGCTCCTGGGCCACGTAGCGATACGCGGAAGGCGGCGTTCGAAAGAGCGTAAAAAATAATGACGAAATCACTTCGGTCAATTTTTTGGTCAGGTCAAAGGTCAGGTCACCAGAGGTCATTGAAGGCAAAATTTCGCCGATTTCCAGGTCGAATGTCGAAAATTTCCAAGAAGCCAACGCATAACTCGGGAACCAATAGAGCTACAGCGCCGCGGAAAAGCGCATTCGATAGCCCCTATTAACGCCCTTTCTGAGTAATTCTCTCAGATTTGACCTAACGTCAACGGTTTTGCCTGCAGGGGGCAAAAACTGCAAAAATAGCCGATTTTTCGGAAACAGTTTTTCTGCAATAACTTTTGACCCAAGCCTTGTACGAGCTTACTTTCACCGGCATCGTGTTCCTCTCGTCAAGACGCATCGAATGAACTATAACTTGACCTTGAAAGGTCAACTTGAAAAGTTGACCTCAGGTCAAGGTCATGACCTGACCGGAAAGGGTCATGTTGCATATCAGTCGATCCGTATCGTCCAGCTGAACACATCTAATGCGTTTTCATCGCTCTAGCATGCCTCTATCAAAAGTTATTTGCGAAAAAACTGTTAGAAACCATTCGTGACCTAAGATGACCTCAGGGCATAAACAGGGGTCACGGACACCATTTTCCAGAACTGGGCAAGTGCGTTCCTTTAGTGCGTTCCTGCGTTCTTGCGTACGTACGCACCGCCTTTTTAGGAACGCAAGAACGCAGGAACGCAAAGTTTTTCAAAGGAACACAAGTAAGGGGAACGCACCACCCGAAATTTTGAAGCGTTCCTCATTTTGTGAAGTGCGAACCCTGCTATACCATGAAAAAATAAAAAATGTGCCCGAACTAGAATTTGTCCGATGTAAGAAGAACTCAGAACCCCCAGATAGGTAGATGAGTTGTTGGATATTGCTGCCAATGACCTCTGTGTCAAATGTTTGAATTTCGAGTACGTGTGTTTGCCGGTAGAGGCGCCACTTGTCGGTCGAATCGAGGAAGGCTTGTTTAGATTTAGTGGTGATGTTTACTATTCGATTCGGTTTCAGGCATTAAATGTGTAAAGAAATATGATAACTTTTACTTAGATACATCTTTCAACTTTCGTCCCCATCCAGTCGTCCCCTGACCGCCGGCCGGAACGGACGTGTCCCCTGCCCCTCCGTGCCTGGTCCCAGTGCGCCGCGACCCTTCCAGTGATTAGTTCTACCTAGGGGAGCCAGGCGGCGGCCGGCGGGTGGTGAGATAATATGGCTGACATGGCTGAAATCGATATTAAGGAAGAAGCCAAGAAAATTTTAAGTGAATTTGAATTCGTCCAACGACTCCAGGACCTGGTAACGGAAGCAGTGGCTCAAGCAATCAACCGGGTCAACGAAGCGGCTGAAGCCCGAATAGCGTCGCTCGAGACTGAACTGTCTTCCACCAAAAACAGGCTCGAGGAAGCTGAGCGGCGCATCGAAGATCTGGATGCGTACAACCGTCGCACCAGCCTGCTGATCACCGGGGTGCCGGAGACGAGCGGTGAGGCGACAGACAACCTGGTGCTGGACGTCGGCCGGGCTGCCGGTCTCAATCTGTCGGCCGACAGCCTGGACCGGTCCCACCGCCTTGGACGTCCACAGCCAGGCAAGGTACGGCCGATCATCGCCAAATTCGCCACAACAAACGCTCGACAAAAACTATTCGACAAGCGAAAGGAGCTGACGGCTGAAAAGGTGGGTGGCCATCCGGTGCTGACCCGGTCAGTTATTAGCCGCATCTTTGTGTCAGAATGCCTTACAGCTAAGAACCAGCAGCTATTCTTCTTGGCTAGGCAGCTCCGGAAACGAAAGTCTCTGTGGGCCGCCTACACGACCAACGGCTGTGTGCGCGTGAAGAAGACAGAGGGAGACATTGCAGTCTCAATCAAAGAGCCAGCTGACCTTGAAGATATCGTGGGAGCCGACGCTTTCCGGGAACTCCGACCAAGGGAGACCGAGCCAGCCCGCTCGGCGCGCCGCGGGTCGGGGCCCGCCTGGCAGGCCTCTGACGCCATCAACGCGTGGGTGACCGAGCGCCGCCGCGGGAGGTCCCCCGCCGGTCGGGGCGACTGAGGGGACGGCCCCCGCCGCTGAGCTAACCAGCCGACCATCGAAGGCATTATAAGGACGGTCTGCGCAGCTGCGCAAATACTCGGACTCAGGCAACACCTCATCAATCAGCTGCTCACCCCGCCGTCTCCGACAGTGGGCGTGTCGACAGGGAACGATTCCCGAGCGGTGACCGTTAGGCGAGCCGGGCCTACGCTGTGAGTAGTGACACCCCACCTCCCAGACGGGCCGGCACCCTCCCCCCGCCCTCCCGGCTGGGGCTGGGTTTCCGGTGCCGGTTCGCACAGCGCCGGCCGTACATGCGTCCAGTGTTTAACATAACCAAATCACTTTACATGACCTTGTGTATATTGCATATTGCCCACCATATATTGTCTTGTGCTCAGTGTGATATGATTTCCCACCTGACAACGATGCACGAGTTAACGATAGCTGTGCCCAGTCGTCGTAGTCATTTTTTTATATGCCTTTTCGGAGCTATCAATGTCTATCATCTCCGCTTTCCCGACGCATAGAGACAAAAGTATGCGGATGTACTTGCTCATCCCTCAAAATCAGTGTCATCTTGCCAAAAGTTAAGCCATAGCCCACATTGCACATTGTTTTATGTAACCTGTTCTCTCGCCACCCGCCGCCAGCCGAAGCGCCTTCCCCGTGCCCACAATGCCACCAGTAACTGGTACGCTCCGAAGCGATGGTGTTAACATCTCCGCAATTAATATCAACTCCATCACTGCCAACGAAAGGCTACAGGAGCTTCAAAGCTACGTTGACATTAACGATATTAGCATACTAGCACTATCTGAAACAAAACTTGACACCACTATACATTCCAGTCTTTACTCTCTGAAAGGTTTTCATGCACCATTACTAAAAAACAGGACAAGGAAGGGCGGAGGAGTTGCAGTATATGTCAGAGACACACTACCTTTTTCGCAAATATCACATCTTGAGTGTGAGCTCTTTGAAACCCTATGGGTGAAAATCAAATTCCATAAAACGACGCTGCTGCTCTGCTCAGTTTATCTTCCACCGAACACCACTAGAGACCGACAATCTCAATTCCTAGATTACTTGTCTGACTGTGTCCTTGAAGCTAAACAGCATAGTCCCGATCTTCTGGTCCTCGTTGGCGATTGTAATGCTGGAAACTGCTGGCTGCCTAGTAATGCACCCAACCACTCCCCCATCACCACTTTCGAAAACAAACTGAAAAA